AAAGAACAGGACACGGGCACAGACCTGGAAGACCTAAGGAAGGTTAGGAAGGAGAAGTGCAGGTCAAGAGATAATGAGAGCGAAGGGCTCGGGTGCAGGATTTGGAAGTTTTTATAATAGGGAGAGAATGATGGTGGGAAAGACAAACTAAACTCCCCACCTTCCTCCAAACCAACTTAACCGGGTTCTCTTCTTCACTTCGCCGTGAACACTGAGCTAGAAGTAAAACTATTTTCCTCTCACCAGGCTTGAAACTGCGAACTCTTGGTCTCAGGACTTCTTTGCACTCTCAAGAATGATTGAGGACCCCAGGGAGTTTTTTATGTGGGTTCTATCCATTATATACATGTACTGCGCACTGATATTTACCGTATCAAAAAGTAAAAGTAAGAAACGTTAAAAATATTAACTTATTTGAAAAGGATAGCCCATTCTACATGTTAGCAGAAATTACATGTTTCTGGGGGCGCCTGGGTGGCTCTTAATATCGGCTCAGGTCGTGATCTCACCTGGGATCGAGCCCCCCACCCCCGCCCCGTTGGGCACTGTGCTGATAGTGCAGAGCCTGCTTGGGCTTCTCTCTCTCTCTCCCTCTCTCTCTGTCTCTCTCCAAAATTAATAAATAAGCATTTTTTTTAATTACATGTTTTTGTGAAAAAAAAAAAAGAGTTTTCAAAACCAAAAAAAATTAGAAAAGTGGCATTGTTTTACATTTTGAAGATCTGTGCCTTAACTGCAGAGAACTGGCTTTTCTGTGCTTCTGCATTGGGTCTGTTGCACCGTCGCAGGTCACGTTACCCCGGGTACTCCAATGTACATTTTCTCAGAGAGTGAGCGAAAATGCTAAGTCTCATCTTAGTGTCACTGCGAAAAACCGTTTTGATCCTGTGGACCCTGTGACTGCACTAGGAACTACACTAGGGATGCCCAGACCATACTTAGAACCACTCCTCTCTACCATCGTTAGGATTTTGGTCTCCCTTTGAACCCCTTAGAAGTTTTGTTTTGTTTTGTTTTTACCGTCTCGTATAACTAAACTTTGTCTGGTATGGTTATTTGCACAATTTCTTATGAACTCCTTGAGAACAGGAGGCATCACTTAAGATTCTGTGTGTTATGCATAGAACCTGTCTTAGACACGACAAATGCTTTTGAATTGAGAGGGGAATCATTCATTCAGAATTATGCTTATCGAGTGCCTATTATTTGCTGGAAGTTCCAGAAGATAAAAAGATGGCAAATATTTAGTTCCTATTCACAAAGACTTTTATAGCAGTGGACTGTTATTCTGGGACGTTCACAAATAACACGTTAAGTGCTGTGTTGGGTGTGGATAATAATAACAGTGGGCTTTTATCATTTATTGATCACTTAGTGTGTACCAATGCACGAAGTATTTACATACATTATCTACTTTAACTCTCACAACGACCTCGAGTTTCAGAGTTTGGGGTTAAACCAGAGTCATGAGGGTTTAGGATTCTTTGGCCACAGAGTGGAGTAATGATGTGAGGTTGGAATTAAGAAGTGGTAAACTTGTGGGGCGCCTGGTGGCTCAGTCAGTTAAGCGTCCAGCTTCAGGTCAGGTCACGATCTCGCGGTTTACGAGTTCGAGCCCCGCATCAGGCTCTGTGTTGAAACTTCAGTGCCTGGAGCCTGCTTCGGGTTCTGTGTCTCCCTCTCTTTCTCTCTCTGCCCCTCCCCTGCTCATTCTCCCTCTCTCTCCCTCTCTCTCTCTCTCTCTCTCTCTCTCAAAAATAAACATTGAAAATTAAAAAAAAAAGTGGTAAACTTGCAAAATTGAGACAGATGGCACAATTTTTTTTCTGTTCTAGGGAGAAAGCAAACATGCTTCTTTTAGGGAGAGGGGACTGTGCAAAGAAAATCCAAAATACTGTTATGCTAGGTCCATAGATTTCTGAATTTCTAGACTTAACAATGCAAAAAGTTGTCTTCCTTGGGGGTCAGATCATCAGATCTGTGATTGGTTAGTTTGTGATTAGTACTCTCGTTAGGGAAGGCTCTGGGTTTTCCTGAGGACCTGGGAGTGAGGACTCCTAATTTGGCAGTGGAGGAAAGAAAAGGAAGGAAGAAGGCCCTGCCACCACCGAGGAAGTGTGGATGCCCGACTTCAGGTGCCCAGTGTTCCCCCCCCCCACCCCGAGCCCCAAGCCTTCAGTCAGGTTTTGCTGATGACTCCAGAGTGGTTTGCTTGACAAAGTAACAGGAAAGTTTGAGGCCACATCTCTGGTGAGGGTGGTGTAGACAGAAGGGCCGTAGCCTCACAAGATGTGACAAGCAACAAAGGGCATGCGTTCGTGGAATCTGACGGTTCTGGGGTGCGAAGTCTGAAACGAAATTGGTGGGGTTTCACCAGCCTTCCTGGAGGGTAAAGATTAGCTCAGAGTAGGTGAGTGGTGGTCGGAAGTGGGGGCAGCCCTGCAGGTTAGAAAACTGGGGAACATTGGGGCCGCCTGGGTGGCTCAGTTGGGTAAGCATCCGACTGCCGCTCAGGTCATGATGTCACAGCTCGTGAGCTCGAGCCCTGCCCCAGGCTGGCTGATGTCAGCGCAGGGCCCGCTTCAGATTCTCTGCCCCCCTCTCTCTCTGCCCCTTCCCTGCTCATGCTCTCTCTATCAAAAATAAATGAATATTAAAAAAAAGAAAGAAAGAAAACTGGGGAACATTAACATCATATACCTACTAAAATTTGAACCACATTGACATAACAGAAAGTTAGCACTGGGAGCTTCGGGGGCTGGAGAGGGGC